GCGATACTTAATGGATATGGTTTATCAAAATTCATTACTGAGCATATATGCGCCGAATGGTCTCGAAAAATTGGGTTCAAACTTGATATTCATCGTGTTGGTCAAGTTTGTGGAGATTCAATTACAGGAGTTTGGAACACTAAAGAACACATTTCACTTATGATAAAAGGTGCACAAGTTATGAAAATTATGCCGGATTCATATAGTTTGAATGTTGATTGGATCCCAGTTGATATTGCTTCTCAAAGCATCGTTGATATTTCTTTGAACGCATCTTTTGACAACGATATTGATTATGTCCGAGTTAATCATATACTTAATCCAAAGAGAATTACATGGGATGAATTCTTAAAATTCTTAAATAAAAGTGGAATAGATTTCAAAATTGTTTCGAATAAAGAATGGTTAAATGCATTATTAAAAACACCAGAATATCAAAATGTGGATAAAAACCCAATAGCAGCATTATCGGGATTTTTTGAAAAAGCTATGAGCGAATCATCAAATAAAAGTGAAGAACCATTATTTGAAACCAATAAATCAATAAAACGTAGTTTGGCACTTTTTAATTGTCAAAAAATTGATGTAGAATTAGTCAAATTATATATTAATCACTGGAAAAAAATATCGTTCTTAGATTAGTTATAAGATTTAGTTATATAATCATTAGGAAGATATCTTCTATTTCTTATAATTATGTTCAAGTTCAATTTTATTTATCTTGTTATTTATTTCTTTTAAAATACCACAATAAATTTCTATACAGTGTGGGTTGAAACTTGTAGAATGACTTGCTGTGGTTAAGATATAACATCTAATTAATGTAAAGCTATTATATTTTAATTTTTAAATTGCTCACGTTTTATTATTAATGAACTAGAACGTTTGTTACATAAATCTGAGACGTCTGAAAATTCAATAAATGAATTAATAAGCTTCTGATTTCGGTAACTTAACGATTCGGTCTTCAGCTGTCCCAAGCTTTATGAAAACAGTTGTAAACAATGTTGCCAATTGGACTAATTGAACCAATTGAACATATGGGAGTTCAATAGAAAGCAAGCAAATTGTTTCTAAATAATTTTTTTAAACTTAAATTAAAATATCTCAACAACTATTAAACCAAGCTTGGTAATTTTTTTTTTTATTTTAATTTTATTTAATTATAGAATTAAAATAAAAAAAAATATCAAGTTTGATTAAATAGTTGAGATATTTTAAATTTTTAAAAAAATTCACTAAAAAAAACCCCCATATGTCCAATTAGTCCAGTTGATAACACTGGCTGTAAATGTAGGGATGTTAAAAGTCCAGTTCGGTTCTTAAAAAGTCAAGAGGCTTAATTTCTCCTCACAGCTCTGATTGGACTGCCTTTAATGACAAAGGACCTTTGCTTACAAGATCAGGTGTAATGTAAATTACGAAAAAAAAATTCAAGTTTTTAAAATTTCAAGCAGCTCAACTTTTACTCTTTTCATATCCTAAAACAAATCTTTACCCGACCTTAATACTATAATCAGTAGGAAGGCGTGATAATAAACCAATCATCCTTGAGAATTTCCTATAGAGTGTCCGGAATCGGGTTGGGTACACCCGGTATTAGGGTGGTTGGCAAGCTGGCGAGGCGAGCTTTTTTTCAGCTCGCCAAATAGTGAAGCAAGGTTCTTGCCACTATTTGGCCTCGCCAGCTTGCCAACCACCCTACCCGATATATAACCCGGATCAACCCGAACAAAACAAAGCAACAAAGACAAAAACACGAAAAATATAAAAAATGGCTATATAAACCGGTCTTGGTTCATTAAGTAAAAGTAGAAATTATTTAATCTAAATCCAACCCTAATATCAATCGATTTTACCAGTGTTGTGAGGGGTACTATGCCCAATTGTTTTCAAATTAATTGGACATATGTCCAAAACCAATTGGACATATGGGGTCTTTCACATTAAAAGAGCCCATTTTGCAAATTTTTTGAAAAATGAGTTTTTATTAGATTCATGTAAATTTTAACATGACTGACATTTTTCAAT